TCCTTCGTCTGTGTATGGTTGGGGCTGGCGCAGTCTTCCTGTGTGAAGCGCCAGACCCCTTCACACCATGGAATGAGGATGATGATGTATGTTTGGGGCTGCATTGCAATATTGATTGTTCGGATCATTGGTATCTAAGTCTTCCGCTGTGCTATTTTATACTTTGTATTGAAAGGTCGGTTCTTGTTCTGGTCTGCACCTATACGGTACGACGTTCTTAAAACACTGGACCCCGTGGATGTATGTGGAGGCATTTTGAGACCAGATGCATCCAGGGGGGACCACCTGGATGTATCTGGTCTCAAGCAAGGTCCATATACATCAAGGGGGTCCAGCGTTTTAAGAACGCCGGACCCTCAAGAGCAGCAAATTTGGACGAGTTTTTGGCTAAAAAAACTCGGTTTCAATTTTGTTCGAAAAATAAAAAATGTCCATTTTGACGAAATGCCAGTTAAAGCAAGTAGGGTACTTGCATTTTGATGGGGGGAAGTTGTTGAAATACCCCTAAAAGTTGGGGTATTTGTTAGATACCCCTGAAACACAGGGATATGCCAAAATGCCCCAAACTTCTGCATCTGCCCCTGTCGTGGTCATCGACAACTTAGCCATATGCCCCTGGCCTAGGGTTGCAGGGGCCGGCGCCTTTCTTTTTTGCCATCCGCAGGGTCCAATGGCCAGAAATACGGGGGCATATAGGCAAGTTCCACAGGGCCCAATAGGGGTATATGGAAAAGATGATGGGTCCAATTGGCGAATGGGGTATTTTGCAACGTCTCACAATTGTCATAGGGGCATTTCGCCACATCCATGCCTTTTAGGGGGTTATGATGAGACACTCCAACTTTCAGGGGCATTTCAACAATTTTCCCTTTTCTAATACAAAAAATATTAAAATGAATGAAGCGGATTGAAGTTGTCTGTCTGTGAGGGGTTCTGACTCGGAACTGTCCCTTGATCGCTGACTGGTAGCCGGTGTGCAGTCTCCAATCATCGAAGACGAGGGAGGTATTGCCTTTACCATATTCAAACCGAAGCCGACATCGCAAGTGGAGGCACGAGAGTGCCTGGCTCAGTTGCAGCCAAGAGACATCGTCCGACTTATGGCAGGGCCTCAGCATCTTAACTTTGGAACCGTTTGTACACTCGCGTCACATACCAGAGGTTTTGCAGTCAGAAATACTCTGAAGAATTGCATCTTGGTAACAGTCAATGCTGGCGGTGTAGAGGAGCTCAACCAGAGTCATCCAACCAGCCAAGTTATCCCCCCAGGTCTGTTTCACAACAACTGCACCCGTCTCCCCCTCTCCCCCTCTCTCTCTCTCTCTCTCTCTCTCTCTCTCTCTCTCTCTCTCTCTCTCTCTCTCTCTCTCTCTCTCTCTCTCTCTCTCT